ATTATAAGAAATGCGTTTTTCTAAGGTACATAAATTTTTGGGATTGACTGTATAGCCAAAACATCCTTAATCATTCCTATTGGGAAACGATGCTTGAATATGATTTTTCTCGCCTCGAGAAACCACGATTTTCAATCGTTGCGTACGCGCGCGTTCGGGCAATCGTTATTGCGTGAACGAGTTCGGTCATTTCCGCCTCGAAAGTGAAACTACCCTAATTACTTCTCCCCCTTTTTGTGAATCACATTTTGCCGCTACAGCGAATTCTGGTTGAAACTGTAAAACTGTGTTAGAAAGTCAAACTGCGGTTGTTTGCTAAACTTATTAAATAAACAAGCAAAGAACGTTGAAAAAAGTTTTCCCCCTAACAAAGCAGCTCGAAGACACCTTGTGGCGTACAGTTAATTAAATTTCTACATAGTTAGCTACGTCCAATTACTTGTGGCGAAGTTTCGATATAGAAGAATACAGTTGATGGCTTCTGAACGAACGTAATAAGGAAAGTCGTAATTTTGCCCACTCGCTCGACATAATTACACTTTTTCTAAGATTAAATTATATAATTTTCTGGGAATTCCTTTCTCATTTTCTTACACTTCATTCTATTTTCATATCTGTTTTCCTTGTCATTAAACTAGTCGGTTCTCAGCCTCCTGCATGATAGAACATAAAAATTATAATATAATCGTACATATTTTTCTATAATAGTCGATACTAATCAAAAGTCGCTCTTTTGAATTGCAAATGAACGAGATAAGAAACAATGCACTGTTCTAATCGTAACAGTCACAGTTCTAATAACGCGAAATTCAATCGGAGATAAAATCTGGAACGCGTTCGGTCGAAACCGCAAATGAAGAATTGGTTTCCCAATTCATTGTACGAGTTCGACTCCGTTTGGTAACTCGAGTAAGAACAAAAGCGATGCCCTTTCGAGCGCATATAATCCAGTGCAAAACGCGAGCGTTACGACTCACGTGGGTGGAGTTGGTTCGTGCGCTTGCATCGACTATCGCCGTTCGGTCGGAGAAAAACGCGAAACTAGTTGCAATCCCGTATCGGTCATGGCCGATCGCTTTTACTGGCTGACTACTTGCCTGCAACGAATCGGAGTTGCTCTACCAGGAGAAAATTCGAACCCAGTACTTTTACTAGGAAGGCAAATGATCAATTTCTTATGCAACTTCATATATTTTTCATTCATCCAATTATGTAAATTTGAAGCGTGATCAGGTTGAACGTACGGAACATAAAATCGCAATTGATTTTTATTTTCCACTAGAATTGCATGTAATTAATTATTTTGTCCTCAGATGGTTCACTACGTGTCAGCATCGGCACTGACCTCGCAAGCCCGGCAAACCCCACCGAGTTCCAGGAACTGTTCTGACCTGTTCGGTCAGCTTCTTCGGAAAGCCGGAGGGATGGGTGACATCAGGGACTGTCCGGTGAGTAACTTACCATTGAAAAAACTTTCTTCCTTACGGGACCAAATTTCTTCATCGTTTACGATTCACGCGTTTGACTCATCCGACTAGTAAGATCAGCTACACACTCTTCTGCGGCCTTTCTTGGAAACAATATCCCATAGACTTTCTCTTTGAAGTGGAACGATAACTATCGCTCGCGGCAGTTCGGCAGACCGCGGATGCTGCGATTTGTATGAATTTTTATGATGTTAATTAAAAATTGTTCTCGTTTAATCTCCCATACTTTATTTATAATCATTTGACCACGAATGGTCGTTAAGTTAGTAAAGATGATTAGGGAAGGGCTTGTTCTTTATTCGCAGAGCTCTTGCGGTGCGAAAATCCAAATCTGCCGGACTCTGATGAACCGGCCGGAAATCGTGTCGGTCGGTGTCGTATGGGACAGCGAACGGCCGTCGCTGGAGCATATCATGGACGTTTTCGCGACTGTGGGAACATCCTTGAGACTGAGCGACGTCTTCCACAGCGTGGTCGACTCCCGATGGGGCGCATCCACGGTCCACAACCTTGTGGGAGTGGTCACGTATTACGGGAAACATTACTCCACTTTCTTCTTTCACACTAAACTCAAGGTTCGTATTACAAATTCTTTAAACAATTAATATTAAGGCCTCGGTGTAAAGAACAATGAATCTCCAGGTGTGGATTTACTTCGACGATGCCACTGTCAAGGAAATCGGTCCACGTTGGGAACAAGTAGTGGAGAAGTGCAGAAGGGGTAGATACCAGCCGTTGCTGTTACTCTATGCAACTCCTGGCGGGACGCCGGTGAATACGGAGAACGCGCCGAAAACCGTGACGCCGTTCCCGAACGGAAATGGATTGAAGACGCCTCCGAAGAACAACATGCGACGCTCTATCACGCCCAGCCCAGAGAAACCATCGATCAACAACACCGCGAGGCGTGCCATCACGCCCAACCCTGACAGTCCTCCTCATCCCTACACCCAACGCAGGATCTACAGCGATTATCAGAATCTGACTGATATACAGAACAACATCTTCGGAAATCAGGTATTCATCAATTCCGATCGACTCTATATTTAATTGCCAACGATCAAAATTATTAATATGCATCTGCATTTTCTGTGGCAGTGCGTGGATTCGGTTGACGGTGACACGGAATCGAAGTACATCAGTCGTCGAGCCGTCGAGAATGTGATGCAACAGCAGAAGAAGCAGCAGATGCAGCTGACGCGAAGTCTGAGCGCAGGCTCGACGCCGCAGGATGCCATTAGCATCCCGGATCACCTGAACATCCCGAGGAGACGGGATTCTGGGAATTGGTCCGGCGACCGGAACAGCGCTTCCTCGAGCTCCTCGACGACGATGGACAATCCGTATCTGTACATCGTGAACAAGATGCAGAGGAACTCGGGAGTCCCAAAGAGTCCCACCAGCAAGTCCGGCGAACTGTCTAGCAGCAGCAGCGGCCACTACGACGCTGGATACGACTCTTACTCTTTGTCCTCCACTGACAGCCTTCCGCTCCAACAGGGCCTGAAGCACAACCTACAGGTACGTACTATAGAAATCCCGAAATAATTACTATTATATCATTGTTTTTTATAAGATTCTGCGTCTTTAAAAAGTGCAACTCAGAATTGAATCAATTTACTTGTATAGCTTGCCCAGATTCCGGAAGGCTACCAAGCGTCATCGAGCGACGACTGCGAGCGCCTCTGCAAGGAAACCGACGCGCTTTTAGACAAATCCCGAGCAGCTGAAGATGCGGGCGATCTTAGCACCGCGGTGGCTTTGTGCAGCGCAGCCAGCAGCAAAGCCAGAGCCGCAATGGACGCGCCGTACAATAATCCGCAGACGATCACGATAGCGAGAATGAAGCACAATACCTGCGTGATGAGGACCAGGAGTCTGCACAGAAGGATGTTGCAGGAGCAGGCGACGACGAACGGAGAAAAGGAAGGTCAGTCATCAAAAGGATATGAAGTTCGACATAATTTTTAGAGTAATACGAGAGGATGCTAAATGTGAGCGTGCTTCATGTTTCAGAAGGTGCGCCGGAAGGTAGACATTCGCGGGAGAACAGTAAATCCAGCCAGCACTCGCGACAGAGTTCCAGGGACAAAGGGAACCATTCCAGGCAAAATAGTCGGGAATTATTAATGAACGTTCCAACGGCGAACACTGACAAGCCTACTACAAAGAGTATCGAGATCTACGCCACGTTACCGAAGAAAAAGACCCTGCGCAGCAAGGCAACAGCCGTGAACGTGATCGAAGACGAAGAGTACATGTTGTACGACCGGCCGGTGCAGAGGACGGGCTTGTTCAGTCGCACGAAGCGCTGCGACGATGATAAGAAGGACAAGAAACGGGCTCGCAGCGAGGAGAGAAATAAGAATGTCTCCAAAGACTTCTCTATCGCTCCTTCTCGAGCTTCACCCTCTCCGAAAGGAACCAAAGCGGAGAAGCCTAAGGAAAATCTGGACGCGGTCGTTAATATGCGAAATTCGCAAGCAAGTAACAATGCTAACGGTGAACAGAAGGGTAAGAAGCAGCATAAGATCCGTAGGAAACTGTTGATGGGCGGTTTGATCAAGAGAAAGAATAGAAGTATGCCGGATCTGCGCGAGGGACAAGACGGGCAGGCGAACGCCAGCGTGGAGGGACCCTCCAACACCTTGCCAAAGCAGTCCGTGGACGATTCCAGCGTCGGTTTGAAGGGCAACGAGGTGTCCCAGTCTCTGAGTGGTTACCTCTCAGAGGGACACCTGGAGTTCACCGGTAACGGGAACGGCGGCCCGGGCAGCACCGGCAATCCGAATCTGGAGAGAAGTCGCCTGATGAGGAAGAGCTTCCACGGCAGCGCCGGTAAAGTGTTACACGTGGCGAAGGTACCGCCGCCTCCTCCGCTCAGAACCACTTCTCAGCTTAGCAAGTCTAAGTGTTCGGGCGAAGTGCATAACGAGCAGCAGTCGGAGAAATCGGTGTACCCATCAGCGGAGGATCAGTGTGCGACGAACCAGCCTCAGGAGCAGAACGGTGCCTACTGGAATCATGTGAACGCGCAAAATTCATCCGCTGGAGCTAACAGAACGCCAAACTACACGGATTATTCATCCGAGTCTCATTCCCTTCCATTCTTGCCCTCGTACGGCATGGAACAAAACTCCGGGAACGTGCCAGCGTCGAATTACAATAGCAAACCTAGAATCCAGGACGACGTGGTGCAATACGCTAATGGGATTCTGTATGAGCCTACTTTCGTAGTGACTCGAGCGGATGTGCATAACGAACAGAGCCCCGTGAAACAACAGAATCAGGTCGACTCACTGCCTCCATATCCCGAAAATGGGAACGTCTTTCACTCGAGGCAACCCAGCGAAGATTTTCCACCCCCGCCGTATCCCTCGATTCACTCTGTGTCCCATTCGAGACAGGCGAGCGAAGATTTTCCACCACCGCCTCCTCCGATCGACGAGGGTTCCAATTACGTTCAAGAGAGTCAACAGCAGTACCAATATCAATATCAACAGCAACATTATCAGCAGCAATATCAACAATACCAGCAGCAACAGCAGCAGCAACAAGCTATATCCACGCAGCAGCGACAACAACACTTAGAGAATCAGCATATCAGCAGTTTATTGTCGCAGTTACAAATGAAGAGAGATCAGATTCTAGCTTCTGACGGTACTAGAGAGGATAAGAGGCCTGAGGAGCAGGAGGGAGAGGATAAATCATCCGGAGAAACATGGTTACGCGAGCTGCAAGCCAAGCAAGCGGAGAGGAGGATGAAGAAGCAGGGCCCTCTCGATCAGGATATACCGAAATTGAGATCAGGACCAGCGATCTCGGGGCCGACGATTGCTCGAAGAACGAGCGATTTGATGATGAATAGTCTCGGACAGAACTATGACCCGACCAGTCGCGATGTACCTGACTGTCCCAGAGTCGTCTCCTCGGTGAAAGATATGGCAGCGAGATTCGAGCAAATCAAATTGCAACCTGTCGCGAAAACGGAACCTGACCAGAAAATAGCGAATAAGCAAAATTGTGTTTCACCCTCTCCGTTATCAGACGCTTCTCAAGATGTTCAAGATGAATCGAGGCCGATAAAACTCTCTACAGAGAATCTCGCGAACTTCGCTAAGACCGATGGTTCCTCGAGTCAGTCGATCATGAACTCGAGTTTCGAATCCAGTTCCAGTCAAAACAGTTTCATTTTAAGCACGGCTCCGAGCAATCCCATGCAAATGCAGCAGAGCGGATTGAATCAAGCGATCATGTCGATGTCCTTAACGTTGCCGCACGAGAATGGTTTGCCCGTCGACTATCCCGAAGACGACATCAGCGAAGTTGCCATGCAGAACACTATTCAGAACACGACGATCCTGCCAAGCGAAGAAGACATCGCACCGAGAAAAGTGAAGCGACGGATTGGAAAAAAGAAGAGCGTGTCGTTCTGCGATCAAGTCGTCCTCGTGGCCACTGCGGAGGATGACGAAAAGGATTCGTACATACCTAATCCGATTCTAGAGAGAGTTCTGCGTTCGGCGATGAACAAACCGGAGACCGCGCAAGTCCTTCGAGAAATTAGAAGCCTTCAGGAGGCAGAAATGAACCGAGAGAACTGTACCACTACTAAATTCCAGCAACAGACTCTTCCACTGAAAAGCGAAGCCGACAGTGTCCCCGCGACTCCGTTCCAAGATCAGCTGAGGAGCGTGAACCCCACACCCATACCCGACACTATTAAACCCACGTTCGGAAGACAAAATTCGAACGAGTCTGTAGGATCTTTGTCAGACAAGAAATTATGCGGTTCGTATGGGAACGAGGGACAGGACGTCGTCCGGGAGAATTACCCAGGACTCCCAAATGTCTCCAAACCGCCAACATCGTATTCGCCTCAGCTCCAGCAACAGATAAGATATTCCCAAAATGGATACATGCCATATTTGCAGTCTCAGTCGACTTATCCTCAGGCGCAAACGTCTCACCCGAGGAATCAGGGCATTCCTCTGTCTCAAACTCAGAAGCCAGCCAGTCCTTATCCCACTCAGATGCACGGGCAATATGTTCAAAACAACGTGCAGCAGCAAAAAACTATGTGCCAAAAGAACAGCTACCAAACTTATTATCAACTGGAGCAGCAGCACAATCAGATGAACAAGCAGATGTCCCAGCAGCAGCAACAGCAGCAACAGCAGCAGCAGCAGCAGGCGAACATGAATCAAAGGATCACGAATCATAACGCGAGTCCGATAACAGTTCAACACTCGCAGCAACAATTCTCGTATCCGCCAACACAATCGCCGAGTCCGTATCAAAATCAGTACAGCCACAGTTCCTATCAGGGTTATCCCTATCAATCCGTTCCTCAGCAGAACAGAATGAACCAGCCGCTTCCACAGTATCAGCCGCCGCCCAATCCTCCGACCTCCTACCAGCAACAGCAGAACATACAGGCTTATCCGCAGAGACACGACACCTATCAAAGGCAACCGCAAAAGGCTGATCAACAAAACATTTTAGCTCCCAATCAAACGTATCCGAACGCGTTGCAAAATGGTCAGATTCAGTCGAACATGAAGTACCCCACGTACCAACATCCACCGGTGTCGAAACAGAGCAAGCAGATGCATTTCGTGTCCGCGCCGAAGAACAACGGCCAGGTGGTTCAGAATACATCGACCTTACAGAAACCTGCGGTCGGAGGTACAAGGATCGCGCCTTGTCACCTCTGCCGGAAGAAACAGGTCACCGAGCCGGCTATTTACTGTTCAGATTGTGATTTCTACATGTCCCGTTTCCGGCCGAAAAACTGAACTCATACTACCGAGCTCATTTTTCTCGTTACTTTTTGTCTTTCGAAAGTTTTATTAACATTTCAACTAATTTAGCATTAGGAATATTTGTTAACTTTCAGTGAAGAGAGATGTATCCGCTTTTGTACAAAGTTAGTTGTAGGTTTTTATCATTAATCACTGGAGACCTTCGTCGTGCAGCTATTAACTGTGTAATACGTATAATCGTAGCATTGTTAATCGTATACACTTAGAAACATTTTGTAATTTATAGAGATAGTGAATGGCGTAGAAATAACATAGATTCTTATATCGATCGCGTTTTTATATACAACGTTTCGTGCTTCGTATGTCGCAGTAATGTAGAGAATAAGTTCTTTTTAATATTGCATCGTTCTCACAATCTTCCGTTGTACATAGGTATCGTTTAAGTCTTTCTTTTTTTGTATAAAACCGTATTAACTTCTTAGGGAATGCGTTTCATTCGGGAGAAAATGTTTAAGATTTGTGATACTAGCCATGCTACATAGAACCTTATCGTTAAACGTAGGAACCGTATCGAATACGATCGCGTAGAATCGCACAAAGGAAGAAGCATGGAGAGAACATGATCTCTGAGACGTGAAAGCGTGAAGTTTTTATATTTTATGTTGATAGTTGTTATATACATATATATATAACTATTGTGTATGTACTTAACGATTACGTTGTCTATGTGCTAGATCGATGTACAAATCACCCCCTACCGCCCCGGATTTTATACGTTTTTCTAATGAGTATTTTGTTTTAAAAATACTTGATTTCCTTCTCCCTTACGACAATGGAAATAAAGAGTCGTATTTGGAAGTATCGTGTTTTAAAAATTTATTGTAGGTATTCAACATTTATACGAATCAGTTGCACATAATATCGCTATTTTTAAATTTAATTGTGCCACTTGTCTTTATAATCTTCGACTAATAGAGACTTGTTCTGAAGTAATTTAACAACAATGTCTTCGTCTTCGGACTCTAAACTTACCGATAACAGTATGCACCTGTTTATTATAAGGAAATTGGCATTTGTAGAACTTCGACCCTGTATATGATCGATCTCATCCCCAATGCTTATCTACATAGTTAAAGTCTGATGTACTTCCAGTTAAAAATTGAATGCCTTTAACTTGATCGTAAGAATTCATACCATTATTCCTTTCTTCATACACTTTTCTCCATTTAGACGTATATTACTTCGGTAAAATTCCTTCTCCAGTTTACTGAAACAAGATGGATTAAATATAAGTATATATATAGTAAGTATATTAACTTACTTCCGCGACAGTCCAAATCCTGCTTTGGCGATGGCATCCAAACGAAGGGAAGGTACTTTAGCCATGACCACCTTCGATTTTTCAGTGTTCAAGTAATCGTCAACATCCAAGTTATTTTCTTCATCTTCTTCATCTTCATCTTTCTCTCTACTCTAAAATAATATACACATGAATAATAGAGCTGATCTTAGAGCAACATGAAATCTCATAGAAATAGTTAAAATTATTACTTGCTTTGTATTCTTCCCTTTAGTTTTGAATCTTCTAAATGTCAGGTTCAAGTTCTGTCCTGGACATGAAGGATTCAAATAGAAACACTTGGAATTGTTACTTGACCTATTTTCTAATGCGAAAGACAGTTGCATATTTGTACAGATTGTTCTTCGTCCGATGTAAAAAATTCTTCTCGATATCATTTTTCAAAGCTGTTATAGTGTTATAAACGTTTGCAAAACTTAAGGTCACATTAAGAACAAGTTATAAACAACGTTCATTTCGTTCGATATAATACAGATTATTCCACGAGAAGTTAGTAGAAGTCAGTCCCTCGAAGAGAATACAATTTGATAGTTTTTCGAACGCTACCGCACGCCATCGGTGGAGGGAGTTTCAGAGCATCCAGTGAAACTAGTTGCGGACGACCGTGAAGACGCGGTGAAAAGAAACGTACCGTATGTGTGAAATATCCGTTGATATATCAATGAACCGGGTTATTTTTCGCGAAATATTAAATCGCCAATTCAACGCTCATCGATAGCTTGTCAACGTGGTGATCATTTCCCGCGTCGAACAAGCAGACTGTGCTACGTGTTCAACAGCTTACGCGTAACCGCCAAAACTACGGACAGAAACGCCATCTTATGCAAGGATGTGTTGACATTTTACTAAATTGGGCAAGATTGCATGATCGTTAGACGTATTCGAGTCCGTACGACTCGAGATTTCAACATTCATCAATGTTAATAAACGCGAACATCACCCGTAAACCGACCCGTCGACCGGTTTAATCGATACAACCCGATAATTATGTTGCTAACGGGAAATCGCGTTCACGGATTAGCTCTTCTGTTTAGCTTTGTGTTTACAAACAGACCGAATTGAATCGTTTCCGCCTGTTTCATTCTAACCGCGCGAACACCAGCAAGACACTGATTTATTTACGACGATACACGAGAATACGAATTAAAAATGTTTTACGCGCATTTCGTGTTGGCCAAGAAAGGCCCGTTGGCGCGTATTTGGTTAGCCGCGCATTGGGACAAAAAGTTGACCAAAGCACACGTATTTGAAACGAATATCGAAAAGTCTGTGGATGGTATATTACAACCGAAGGTAATTGGAAATTATATCTGTTTTACTTGTTTCTTATTCATCCGTTGCATCGTCGTATATCTTTTTGGTGTTGCCACAGGTGAAAATGGCTTTGAGAACATCAGGTCATTTGCTGCTGGGTGTAGTACGCATATATTCAAGAAAAGCCAAATATTTGCTGGCCGACTGCAATGAAGCCTTTGTCAAAATTAAAATGGCCTTTAGGCCTGGCATGGTGGATCTACCAGAAGAGCACAGGGAAGCTGCTGTAACGGCTATTACGTTACCTGAGGTGTTTCATGACTTCGATACAGCAATGCCAGAACTGAAGTAAATGAAATCTCTGAGCCAGTCATAAGAAACAAATCCTTATTTTATGATTCTTAATCTGTAATGTTCCGTTGCAGAGATGTGGACATCGAGGCACAATTTAGCTTGAACCAGTCGCGTGCGGAGGAAATAACTATGAGAGAGGATTATGGTAGTTTAGCTTTGGTTACACACGATCAGGGATTTGGTGACATGAGTTTCGATGCAGAACCGCCAGAATTATTAAGACACGCTGGTGCTGTGGAGCCTTCATTAGATCAGGTATCTTTTTCTTTTTAGTACATTTAATATTAAAATATAATTAAGTTTATAGGGAATTAAATTTATGTTCATTTTATAGACGCATATGTTGTTCACTGATGGACCAGGAATTGAAGCATCTCTAGAACAAAAAGAAAAGGAGCCTGTACCAGGTCCATCGGTAACGGCACAAGCTATGGACATAGATATGCCTATTAGAGACGATGGTTTCGGTGGTCATCTTGGTCAAGACATCATATCTGGGGGTCTGTTCGAGGGCGGTTTATTTGACGAAGCACCTATGGGTGAAGTACCTGTACCTGAGGTCAGTGCGATAACAGAAACGCAAGAACCAGGTGTTGTCCCTGCCGCACCGTCTGTGCACGACGAATCGGAAGAAGAAATGGGAGATCGTTTCGGTGGTTCGGCGTCACCCATGGGAGGAATGAGTTCCGATGAATCTCGACCCGCGACTCCGGCTGCGTCTGAGGAAATCGAAGGAAGAATAAGCGTGGCGAGTCGACGTTTCACTCCGGCCCCACAAACTATCCCTGAGGAACGGCCGATGGAAGCAATTGAAGAAGCTCCGCCGCAGGATCAGACTACGTTGTTGCATGACGAGGAAGAGAGCTTCGCTCTGGCACCCGTCGACGCATCTGCCTTAAAAGGATTCACGAAAGCGAAACGTAAGCGCAAGCTCATCGTGGATGAAGTGAAGAACATTTCCGGCGAAGAGATGAAGGCACAATTGTCAGACACCAGCGATATTATCACAACGCTGGATCTGGCACCGCCTACGAAAAGATTAATGCACTGGAAGGAAACTGGCGGAGTTGAAAAACTGTTTGCTCTCCCGGGCAGACCAATACCCGCACGTGTGTTATTTAAGAATTATCAGCGACATTTGACCAGCAAGTCCTATGACCACGAAGACTTCGGTCGTATAGCTGGTGAAGAGGACGGCATGCCTTTGGAACAAATGAGAGAACCCGTAGAAGCTGATGCGTTTGAACAAAGCATTCTCAACAAACGCATGTCCCGCAAACGAAAAGCACCAGCGGACGAAGAAGTACGTTACTATTTATACTTCCGAATAATAGTTAAAAATATCGAGTTTGTTAACGTGTCGTATTCTAATTTACAGGTAAAACCAGCACCTTCAGCACCGGCACCGGTTCCAATAGACGTTGCCACCGAAGCAGTCGAAGTCCCGAGCATAGTTGCCCAAACGAGTCTACCTCCCGCAGAATCTCCTGTACCTCAGCCTGAGGTGTCCTTGCCAGCAACGGAACCGTCGGTTTCCGACGTTAGCAACGTCGTGCCACCCATCGAAGAAGTGGAAATGACTCCTCAAGCCATTGAAACATCCGTGATTCAAGAAGTTCCTCAATTTCCTCCTACCGAAGCTGCCGCAGCACCTGAAGAACCAGTCGTTCCACCTGCGTCAGTGGAACCGGAAGCTACTCCCGCACCCGCCTCTGAAATGCCTCAAATGGAGAACATGGGTTACGATCAGGTAAATTCCGAACCCTGAAATCGAAAATTATATATCTAAGGAAGTGTTACTTAATTTTGATGTATATAACAGGCGCAACCTCAAGTACCATACGTAGGATATGATGAACAACCTCAACTACCCCACACGCCCGCTATATCAGAGAGAGGACCGGCGACACCATGGAATCACGAGGATTACGAATTCCCTCCATCGGTTGGACCTGTACGTTTCTTCATTCGCTTATAATTAAATGTAATAAGAGCAGGGATATGTAATTTGCTCGTTTCGTTTTTGCAGCAAGAAGAACAACAGGTCGATGAAACGTACGAGCAGTTCGAAGAGCGAGTTCTTAACAAGAGGGCTGCGCACATGTATCACGTCATCAAAAGTAAACTAGATACCAAAGATAGGCTTACACTATCGGAAATGGCATACAAGAACAATCGCAAGCAGGTGTGTATTATATCTTAGGAGTCACTCTTCTCACATAATTGTACAATTCATAATATCGTGTCGATTCGTTTTCTTCCAGGTTGCACAAAAATTCTACACGTTGTTAGTTCTCAAGAAATTCCAAGTATTAGAACTGAATCAAGGATACCCGTACGCTGATATCTCAGTCAGCAAAGGACCAAAATTCGAGACTCCGGCGTTATAAAACTATTAGGTTTCTTCTTACTTTACATTTACTGTTAAAAATACCGGGGGGAGAGGATTTATGGTTATTTTTAACCGTACATGAACCGTGCGATAAATTCTTTTGAAAGATTGTAAAATAATATATAAAGCTCTATAGTAATATCTCGGATCGTCAAGGAAGAATTTTATAAATCATGTTTTAGACTCCTGGTACAGGAACGTATACGTTTTGTATAAATCAAAACAAGGGAAAGAAATCATTGTTGGAAGTTTCATGAGATTACAGTATCATTTACATCCGTATGTATTATTCTGAAATCTTTCAAGTTCAATCATGTCGAATGATGTTACGATAGTTTCCTCTTTTTGAATACTTATACATTAGTTACTATTGTAAACAATTATTAATGGAAGAATCAAAGGGATATTTTGGATAATACTTTTATGTATTGCAGTTATACTTTAGGGAGACATGAGCGTGATTAATTTATTTTTCAAATCGATATACATATTATATTCTTTAATTATAATCAGTCTAGTTATTTTCTTTTTCATTACAAATTTATGATCCGGTATTATTTAATCATGAATAACATTCCAAAGAGCATGGATTTAATGGTCACATTTTTCCGTTCCAATTCTTATCATAGAATTGCTTTAGCATATTTCGAAGTACATTTGTTAATCATTGTAAAGAAAAGAACAGATCGATTGATGCTGCTATTTTCTCAAAGAATATAGCGCTGTGGTTTGTAATTTAATTAACAATTGTCATAAAGAATGTTCCATAATTTATTGTTACGTACGTATACCTATTATATATCATGGGATACGAGTGTTAAATCATATTTAAGAAAGCTATATTTTATCAAACTGACGTGGAAAATTCTCGAAAGCAATCATATTTCATTGTAAATACTACGCTTGCACGGCAAGCACCGCGAACCATTATCACCGCACGTTATATCTTATTAAAAGAGGCATGTCATGAAAAAGAAATCGACTGCTGCAACATATTACTGGTTGTAAATAGTATCATGATTCACTAATCGATATATTCATCTGTTTATAAAATAAAATGGGAAACGATATCTGTACTGTTTTCTTTGAAATTGGGATTCTTAAAGTACATATCACATAATACTTAAAAATATTAATCCATTATTTTCCATTAATAAACTGTGTTACATACTTACATATTAGAATCTATTAATTTAACGAGAGAACTAATATTAATTTGTAAGCACTTTACTTTCTTAGACGTGTGTAGAGGCTGATACACACGCGCGTGATAAAGATCATGATGGCGTATATTTTTTTTATAACACGTGTATTCATTGTATTAAATATATTTAAAAATCGTTACTTTAAGTTAACAGATCCGAAAGTGTTATTTTTTTAAATCACACTTTGAGTAATGAACACATTATATTTAGTATATGCTTAAACATTTTCCTGTTTGTTTAATTAGGAAATATGCATGTATATGACACGTGAATCATAAAGAAAAAAGGGATGATTAATGTCATCATGCTATTGTTAGAAATGTGGAAGAAATTACAACAAATTTTTACGTGCAAAAGCATTATTTTATTCATTACCAGAGCAAATATCTAAATGTAATACAAATTTAACGTATCGACATTGTAATTAAATCATAATGTCTGTTTTGTCAGTGAACGGTATTCGCGCGCAGTAAAGAATAATTTAATTTCTTTTCATATGTCACATTGATCATGACATAATATCATAATGAACCGTATGAAAAAAGAAAAATTGTTAAATGCGCTTAGATTTTACTCTTCCAATTCACCGGCTTCCATCGCGTCACGGTACGATCTATCCTTCGATCGTTCCGGATCCAGTTTGATCATATCGTCGATTCGGAGAATAGTGATCGCTGCCTCTGTAGCGAATTTCAATGATTTTATTTTCGAAATCGCTGGTTCCAATACCCCGACTTTCTTGTTATCTTTGATAGTACCCTCGAGCAGGTCCAAGCCAACCCTAGAAAAGAACGTGGAAATCGTAATAAGAACTTTTGTTAATGTTTCGTTAATTTTATTAAGACTTACCATTTCAAATCTGCGAGGTCTGCTTTCGTTTGACTGGAATTGTGGTAAGCGCGTAATTTAGCGACGAGATCCGTGGCATCCTGTGCAGCGTTGACTGCTAACGTTTTCGGTATAACGAGTAACGATCTGGCGAACTCAGCGATAGCCAATTGTTCTCGAGAACTCTGTAAAATATAAATGTAAGTACAGAGACGTACTAAGTGCGTATTATCAGGATCATGAAGGAACTTACTAAAGAGGTAGCGAAATTTTCCAAGTAAATTGAAAGCGCCGCTTCAACGCAGCCTCCTCCCGCGACCACGCGTTTACTTTCCAAAACTCGTTTGACCATGCACAACGCATCGTGCACAGAACGTTCCATCTCGTCGCAGTAATAATCGTTCGGTCCACGCAATATTATAGAACTCGCTGTCCTTGCTTTTGGCCTATCATCAATCCAATTTAATTATCATAACGAACTTGACACGCGAATTCTATATTTAAATGAATTTAAGACGAACCCTTTGATAAGAATCAGCTCGTCGTCGCAAACCATTTCTTGCACGACTTCAGCTGCTTCCCCGAGGAAACTTGAATCGAAACTCTCCTCCCCTTCCATGTTCGTCAAGGAAGTAAGGAACTGCGCGCCTGTAGCCTTTGCAATCCTCTTCAAGTCCGCCTTCTTACATCTTCGAACTGCCATTGCTTTAGCTTCTATGAAATACTGCAAAGAAAGATAACTAGATATTATCGATATACGAAATTATAATTTCCGCGAATATACCTTCAGACAAAGATCGTCAATTCCTCCAGATACAAAAACAACGTTCGTGCCCGCTGCAATAATTTTCTGAATACGTTCTTTCGTAATATCCGCTTCGCGTTGTCGCACAGCTTCCAACTTCTCGGGATCCGTGATCAATATTTCGACGCCCAATTTCATTTTTGTCTTCTGCAGAGAGAAGTCTAAGCAAGCGATTTTCGCGTTCACTATTCTCTTCTGCATCGCTTGCGAAGCTACGGTGCAATTCAGCGCGTAGCCATGTACCAACATGGATTCCCTGACGCTCTTTCCATGAGCCTTTAAAACATTAACTGCCTTTATGGGGTACAGAAATCCTCCTTTTCCATCATTGACTTTTATAGCATTCGCTGCATCGACGACCATGTTCCCAAAGAAATCGGCATCACTATTATTCATTTATTAAAGAAATACGATAAAGGCAAAAATAATACAAATGTGTCTACATTTAATCTAGAAAAGGATACGCTCCAATAATTTTACTTGACATAGAAGTTTTCGCTACGTTCACTAAGCAGTCTCTTCCAAGCTCGTCCACACCCACTGTTAGATGCTCCTGAATGTATCTACAGGCTTCTCTGTAATATAAACGATGAATGTTTTATGTTCTCAAGTGTATTGCGCACATTTTGACTTACTTGCAAGCGAGCCTGTAACCACTGATTACAGATGTTGGGTGAATCTTTTGCTTTACAAGTTCATCTGCATTTTTTAATAATTCAGCAGCAATTATTACCTGTTACAACAAAATGTTTATATTAATTTCACAAGAATTCATGTATTGAACAAATGAACTTACAACTGACGTGGTTCCATCCCCAACTTCCTCATCCTGCAGTTGAGCTAATTCTACCAAAACTCTCGCAGCTGGATGTTCGACCTCGAGCAAGCGTAAGATAGTTGCTCCATCATTTGTGACAGTAACATCCTGTGACATTAATGAAGACATTAATTTTATAATTCATATAGATTCAATTATATATTCGATGTGAATGTTTGCTTACACCAATGTCATCCACGAGCATTTTATCCAAGCCAACGGGGCCCAGGGAACTCTTAACAATATTCGCAATTGCACAAGCAGCCATAACTAGAAAAGGATGTTTAAGATTGATTTATTTTCATAAGCCTCAGGCACTTTAAAGAGTAATTAAACAAGTATCAGATGAATTGAAGAGTAACCAAATTTGACATAGACAGAGCGTGTTCATTACTTACCGTTCTGTGTTCTTACGGGTGCTCCGAATTGCCGGACACCGCAAACAGCTAAAGGGCTAGCTACCGTCGACATTTTTCAACGATTATTTCAATATTTTCTGTAATATTGTAACTGAACTGACGATCGAGAACTTCGATTACTAAAAAGCGGTCCGCGTGCAGATTTCTAGCGAGGATGATTTGATGGCGATCAGCGACGCCTATCCTTACTTCCTTTTAGGGGCAAGTTCAGGTGCGACTTAAATCATCATGCGGGATCATTCAATTGGTCGCCAAATCGTGGACAAGAAATCCTTAGGCTACCAAAAATACATTTTTCTAAACGAGAACCTCGCGAATTATAAATATTTATTTGTAAGAATTTGTAGAAATTTTAATTTCGTTTATAAATGAATAAGAATCAGTCGTAAAATTTGTGGAATTTCGATCATAGCGACGTGCATTGAGGAATTTTTTTCTCATTATTTCTCAATGAACTAGCGACTGGAAACTGGAATACATATATGAATACATTTGTACTCTGTATCGTCTGTGTACTCTGCATCCTCTGTATACTCTGTACAGCATGCATATGTATGTAATTATGTGTCTACAGATGTATGTTTGTTTGAAACAATTGACAAACAACGAAGCCGCAATGTGCTCGTGCTCTTCTCTTCAGGTTCAGTGTCTTTCGAGTCTATGTTGATAATCCATTTGTGTAAGCATCGTTGCAAGCTAAGAAAGCATTGACTAACACGATTTTCATTAAGAATGTCCGAAACTATACAAGGAGTATGCCTGCTGATGTGTCCAGAAAAAGAACGCTGGATGTAAGTTGATTACCGAACGATTTTTCCTTTATCTTTACAATCCGTCCTCCTAATCGCGTCCTAGCTTTCAACATTTCAAACGCATTTTCGGCAACTTACATCTTGTCGTACCGACACTTACAGCAGAGAAAGAGAAGGCCTGTTGCATAGATTCGAAATCGACGAGAATACCAAGGAAATGAAATTTCCAAAGGCAGATCCAATGAAAACTATAAAATGCTTCAGTAGACCGGCAGCAGGATTGAACATGACCGATCCGCATCAATTGCGACCTGCTTCTGTTCTTCTTTCTACTGTTAGATACTTATTTACAAGGTATATAAGTTCGTACATGCGTTCGATAGATTGACGGATTTACATACACGTGCATGTTATTTACTTGCAACTAGAATAGCTACGAGATCAGACGTGGACTGGGTAGTGATATACGATTTCATCTTTGATCGGCTGAGAGCTATTAGACAGGACACTGCTATTCAAAGGATCGACGCTCATACGAATATTCAGTTGTTGGAACAGATAGTCAGATTCTTAGTTTACTCCTCGCAAAGGTACCTTACTAGATTTTCGATACGTATATAAACGTATGCCATGTAAATCGAAAGAGGATTGAGAAATATTTGCGATCATAGATTATGTGAACGGCCTTTGGTTGAATTTAATGCAAAGATCAACGACCAACACATTGGCGAGTGCATAAGAAGTTTAATAGCTTTGTACGATACGCAAACGATGACTGATAGTGATGAACTGAATTCCTCTTTGGGAATTCTCGCAAAATGTATGGGGGAGTTGAGTTTGAACGCTGACCGTCAGCAAATGGAAGCATTATATATCCTTTTGAACATTGGTGACACTGAAGTTTTAAAGAGAGCTATACGGCTTCCTCTCAATTTGCGGTACTTACAGAACATTATTTCCATCATTTCTTTACAATTCCTCCGTTCAATTAGTCACGTTTACTTTGTCGTTCCTTAGAAGATCGATGGAAGTGCATCTGGCACTGGAAATATCGTTCGCATGGTATTTACGAAATTACGTCCGGGTCTGCTCTCTGATCCCGAGGCTTCACCCGATACTCATTTGCGCGGCTATGACTAACATACAAAAATTGAGGAGGTATGTCTCGCCTATTCAGTGAATCAGATTCAAATACTTGTTCGTTCGATGTTATCGTCTGTTAAATATTGTAGAACAGCATTGAAAGTGATGAGCTTAGGGTACAACAGTAAAGTTCTCACATTCCCTGGGCTTAAGTTGCAACAACTATTGCTGTACAACGATATAGACAAGGTTCGAGCAGATTGCGAGCTATTCGGTCTTACGTTCACCGAACAGAATATCTTGTTCCAAAAAACGAATTTCAATGATAACGTTGAACTGGTGAGTAACAGAAATCTGTGCCCACAATTCGATATTAGAGAATGATTCAAATGATCCTTATAGGCACACCCGGAGATGTACTATTCGCAACGATGTTTGCACAGTTTCTTACCGCGTATCTTACTCGATGCTTGAACCATGTACACGCACACGCTGTACGTATTCATATACACTTCTGTATATAATATAAATAATGTCTGTGATGCAATATCTATTATAAAAACGTTTCGCGTGGAGTACTCAAACTTGTTATGGATGGCAATAAAATTAACATTTTCTTAATTCGTGTAGTTGACAATTATATTTGTACTCGTTAATACATAAAACGTTGTTTGTTTTAAAAGACACATAGCGAAATACTTTACAATACACATCGTGCATATAATGTACAGTATTATACATGAATATTAATTCTAAGTTCCGATAAAATAAATCCTCCGTCCTCTCGTACACTCGTAACGTTACCAATAGGAATATATGATCAATAATCAATCGTTGCATCTTCAAATATCACACATCGCACTTATTAGACTCGTTCATCGTTTATAATATACAGAGTTATAATATACAGTCATGTGTAAACATTCAATACGCGGTGGTCTTACGCGATATAGGTATAACTGTTGTAAATGAGATACAAGTACTTTCCACTGGTTCAAATGACTCAACTATTATTCGTTCTGCTACTTAACTTCTAGAATCTCTCTTTCAATCTCTCTCTCTCGCACACACCTCTCAAAAAATTTTAGATGCATTAATGAGTAGTAGTTGTGGGCCGAGGTGCACGAGTTAAAGGCCTCCGACTATCTTCGTCCGAACCATACGCAACTTCCTCGTCTGAACCGTAAATAACGTCTTCGTCGGAATCATTTATCATAGAAAACGTCGGATTGTCCTTAGTTATAGAAGTATCTAAGGTCGATCAAAGCAGGTGTTAAAGGAAAATTCAAGCGTTCAGAAGAAATATTAAAAAATACTTACGCTGTCCATATACTTGTTGAGATGCTGGCGCGTACACGTAAGCCATCGTGTAGAGATAAAAGTTGAGGAGTCCGTAGAGTGCCATAAACTGAGCGGACGAACGATAGTAAGTGGTGAGACGAGAAGCGAAGCTATCTTCGAAAATTCCAGCACCGAATTGTCGTGCTGTCACACAACCGCAAACAAACGAGACCACAGCAGCGAGTAACGTTAAGAAACGTAAACGAAGATCTGAAAGAAACAAGTTTTCCTACAAATTGTTTGTTACCGTGGATTTCCGTACGTCAGAAATTTACGAAAATTCTACTCGCGCGTACCGAAATAAGGCATGGATCTTAATTCACTGTACGCTTTTAATATTAAGAGAAGTAGATACGCCACATAAAATCCTCCTACTGTGAAGAAGAACACTTTGAATCCCTGCAAGAATACCGAATGCCAATTAAAAATTCGTTGCGCGGATTCAACGTACACACGATCGATGTCCAACCGTGGATACTTACAAAGTAATTTGATGTATCCAAGACGTAATTATAAGTTGGGTCCTCCAATTCCGTGCAACGTAACCATGTCGCTAGGATAAACGCGGAACACCAGAGCAAACCGACTATCAGAATTTTTGGCAAATAAAACGTGATCAGATGTCTTTCGTTCTACAAAAAGCAAACAAGACGATTGCAATTTATTATACACATATTTAGAAGAAACTTAATGAAGAAGCTTAGGATGAGAAAACGTACTTGTCTCAGGCCATGGTATACACACAACCAGAACATGAGAACCGCGCAGAGGAACGTCGTTTGCAGAATCGCGTCTACCATACCCGGCACCCAAGAGTTCATTAAAAATGTCATTGGAAAGAGCGGATCTGAAAGAGACACTATTAATTAACTAATCCTTCGGTGTCGAAAGAAGACGGGAATCGAGTCTTACTGTTGTATAATATCAACAAGGGCAGGAGCACAGAAATCCATTTTTGTTCTATCGACCAGTCCTGCAACGGGTACTTCCGAAGCGAATGTCCGAACCAGCACTAAAAATTGACTCGCGTAATGAGTACACTACTCGCGCCTCGATAACGCAGTTACTTACCATAACTCCGAACGCGGTTAATAAGAAGATGAACCGAAACCAGATCTCGAACTCCGTGAACGCTGGATTATAGTTCTTAAACTATGAACAAGTAAGAACATTATCGAGTGCGCGAGCGTCTCCGCGTTTACGAACAGTATTAATCGGAAAGATGCGTTAACGATACGCGTTTTACTTTATGCAGTGCTTACTGACGTAGAACGTGAGCTCGCGTATGTTATAACGTTCGTGGAAGCTCTCGAGACCGTGGAAACGGACGGTGATTATGTAGTAATTGTAATCGAGGAATCCGAGGTGGGCAACGACGATCTCCTCGCAAGTTTGCCTCTCGCATTTCAAGTGTCTGGTTCTATAAGAAAAACACATGCACGTTATCTAGCGTTGTTTTTAGACTCGTAAAGAATCAGACTCGCGTACCTGTTGTGCCCGGTTTCCGCGGATAGGACAGGTACGAGTTTTCGATCGATTCCGATACCGTCTATAGAGATGCTTATTTGAAAACTCTTGTCGTATCTTTCGTCTGTAAAATTCCGTACAGCAATTTACGTTACGCGTTCCATGCTCGTCATCGTTTATTGTCTATCCACGCGTACGTTACCATCGTTATTCGACGTTAACAGTTTTCCGATCACCCACAACTGTTGGCTGTACGTAGATAACAGAGGCGTTTTCATGATGAAAGGGCCAGTGGCAACTTCGCTGCCGTTTAAATGAGCTCTCTGTTCACTCGTCGACGTGATAGGAGGACCTAAGCGACGATCAGCTATGACATTCAGCGAAACAGTAGCAGCAGATAAACTCACCTGCTAGTCCGATGAATACTGCTAATCCGAAACACGCGAAAAACCCGACAAATATCATGACGAATTCCCTCTTATGCATAGAATACAATCGCATTTGTACGGACCTGAAGAATAAGAAAGGAATAATAAACGTTGCCATTGTTGCGTTCGGTAAAAATGTTACTGTTTATTCACCTTTCGCATCGGTCATGATGATAGGCGGGCGCAATGTACTTATTAAATTCGCTGAAGAGATCGCTGAACTGCGAGAGTACGTTTCTAACTCGAAGGTTCCATCCCGCCGAGGGTAGGTGGTACGAATACCCCAACCCAGGAGCATCCATTATCAAGCTAAACATTTCGTTACGCACATATATACACGAATAGAGGCACTTGGCTAGTTTCATTATAAATCGGACATTGTGCAGCGTACGTGTACGTACACCGACAACCACGTGTCCGCATTGTTACGAAGCGTTAAGAACGTACCTGACTAACCTAAGGTTCGATCAGTCTAAAGATTCCTTTCGTACGAACACGCAGCACATCGTATCGGAAACAACTAAGTAAATCAAAGGAGAATATTATTATCTTCCGATTTGGAAACGGTGCCGCGCCGGCAGTACGTATTACAGGTATGTACATATGTACATGCTCAGATATCTCCGTAGTTACACTTACATTCGACGCGTTCAAATCGATTTAACATAATATTTGTATTGAATTAAAAAACCGCGTAGTGTTAAGATTCGACAATCGGATTCGAGAAACTTGACACAGTAGCAATGGTAGGAGACATTAAATACTGAAGCGCGACATCGCACGAAACAAACGCGGCAGACATTACGACGCGTTCGTGCTCAGTATTGATTTTTATGCTTTACGCCCGACGAAGTGTTCGGCATCGAGTCCTACATACATACAAACGTATATCAAGCTATATACGTATCTAAGCTTAAACTATGTATGCGCCGCGTATTACAGATTTCTTTCCATCGATGCATTTAGCTAGTCGTACATACTCTGCATAATGCGAAAGGAAAATAATTGCCAATTAATTATCTTTATTGTTTACGTCGAACGTAAACGCAGTCGAGTTTAAGAAAGATCTTAAAAAACTGTGAAAGTATCGTGTAAAGCGGTGTATGGACGTACATACATGTATCTAACGTAAAATAGTAGTTTATTTCGTATAGCAACGAATCGTTTCTCGATGATCTCTGTTCGCCTGTTAGCGCGCGTATTCCTTCAATCCCAGTATTTGATTTTTCCGTCCCAACCGGCCGTCGCGAGCCTCGACGGTTCGTGAGGATGCCATAACACGTCGATGCATACACCGTCGTGTGCTTTCCATTTTTTGTACAGTTTCGTCGTTTTCCAATCCCAAATATAACACTTGCCGTCCGCGTCTCCCGAGACGAGATAGCTTAAAAAAAATAAAATAAAAAATGAAGAGTATAACGAGAGATTAAAACGGTGGTCCAAAGTCGAAAGAAGGATCTCCTCTTACCTCATGTCCGGAGAGAAATCCAAACCGCAGGCATAGCCAGCGACCATGTGTCCCGTGAAAGTTTTCTTACGATTCATCTTGAATCTGTTCAACGCTGAGAATATGACGATCTTGTTGTCCATGCTTTGACAAGCAAGCCACTTTTGATTAGGCGAAGGCGTGACTGCTGGCATCGAATGCATCGAAGGATCGGCTATGTATTTCATGTCCACCGGTATATCCCATTCCCAGACCCGCAAACTTTTATCGTCCGAAGTTGTTACAAATCTTCGGTTCTCGTCTACGAACGTTATCGTATTCACAGCTCCTAAATGCCTGTCGTATTCTTGCGTCACGTCACCGGAGCGGATGTCCCACTGTAACAGGAACGAAGAATTGAGTCACGGTAATTCACGTGAAATTCAGAGTTTTAATTGAACTAAAACTCACGCATATAATTTTCTTATCGCTGGTGCCTGCTACGAAGAGGTGCTGCTTGTCCGGATCAGGATTGAATTTGACACAGTACGGAATTTTCCGACTCGTGAATCGGCTTACACATTGGCCCGTTTCCGTATCCCACAATTTTACATAGCGATCGTATCCCGCTGACAAGAATCTTTTCCCGTCGTTATCGAAGCTTATATCTCGCACAGCTTGACGATGACCGTAATAAGTACGGACGCACCTCCTGTCTTTGTAAACCTCCCACAACTATGCCCGGTAAATACAGAAATTCGTATGTTATACTAGACGATAGATCCGTGTGCGTATACTTTACCTTTACTCTGCAATCCATACTGCAAGAAAGTAGCAAATGCGCGGTACGTGGAAACCATCTGATTTGCGAAATCCCTTTCGTGTGTCCCTCCCACGTATGAATCTGGGCCTTCGGTAAGAAACATCTATCGGGCGGCGATTCCGATCTTAAATTTACACCAACGTCCTGAGGAGCGTGCAAAAACGATCTGCCTTGATAGTCCACACTATCTTTAACTGCAAGAGAAACCATTCTCAGTATTTTTTAGTCAAGTTTCATATTATTGTTCGTTGCGAGTTAAACTTACTATGTAACACTGTCTTCTCTTCGAGTGGTTTCTCCTCGGTCGGTTTTCCTCTTTTATTCCGTTTCGCTAATATCTCTTCCAATTCAGCCGCTTCCTCTTCGGTCGGCTTGATAACCCGTTTCTCATCCACGTATCCACCCCATGGACCTAAGAATCCTTCGATATCCGCAGGATCATCATTTCTCTGCCGTTTTCTTTTATCAGCAGGCCTCAACATAGTAGTTTCGAATACAGTTTTTCCTCCAGACTCTTCTGCGGCTTCTTTGGCACCTATAATTGTCCTACCTTCTTCTGCGCTACCATCCACGGTTGGATCCAGCGCGTATCCTACAATGTTATCATGTTTAACTTTCTCAGTTTATAAAATTTACAAATTTACATTGAGGTAAAAGCATACCATAACTAGCAAACGTTCTTCTCTGATTCTCAAACTGGAACTCGCTTATGTGAGCTTTCTCCACGTATCCAGATAGAATATTTTTAACAGCACGCTGCTGTTGTGTTTTAAACGGATTTTCAGGCCCGATGTCAGGCGCGAATAGTTCCTCATACTTCGGATTGTGCATTACCTCGTTCACGGTGGAATCTATATGGTTCGTACATAATTCAGTGCCCTGTAATTCAAGTGAAACATTGTTTGAATAAATAGTCTGGCCATATAATCGACTGTCACGTGCGTAGATGAGATTTCTCGGATCGCGAAACTTCTGAACGAATGCTTACCGTGGGAATCACTTCTGGTGCAGAGCAAATTTGTAAATTAAGGGAGGCGACCACTTTTTCCGTAGGAGAGGATTCAACGGCAGAAGCGTTGGGAGAATCCTCGACGCTGGTAACCTCGTTTTTCTCCTCTTCCTTTTCATTGTCATTATCCGATTCACTGTTCTCGTCGCTACTGCCGTAATCCTTCAAAGCAAGCATCGCGATCATACGTTCTTCATTAACGCACAATATCTGACGATCCAGGTCCTTGCGAAATGTTTACGATCAGATTTAGCTGCCGTAGAAATTTACGTCCGTCAACATGATAAAATAGCTCGCCTCTGTACCTTCTGCTCCTTCTTCGAGCACGAAATCTTGTACAGATGCAGTGCAGAAGGCGTGCACGTGCTCGTGCTTTGAAATCGAGGATCGCGAATAATTAAAGATAAACCTAATTCCTGAAATTAAAATTGATTTCGCTAATCTCCCGTTGGATCGAAATATAAATTTTGATAACGGCCAGCTTTTTGGGAAACGAATAGGTTGTAGCTATCCAATAGGATGTCAGAGTATCCGAGTTGTTCTATCGAGTGTGACATCGGTCGTCTATATATATACAGAGTACAACAGTGATAAAGGTAATAAACACCGGGATTAAATTGAAAAATTCATCATACAGATGTAAATGTTTTATAATTATTTCTATACATACCGTAGTCGTACATAATAGTTGTAAGGAAAGTATATTTCTTTCCGTAACGTAGTATTTTGTAATGCGTATTCATACAATTGTTAGATATGTCAACGTTAAATTTCGTAAGATTTAAGAGTAACACTTTATTGTACATTATCAAGAATGTGTTTCAACGTATTCTATATTATTGTATATCACGAAATAATGAAGTACTTTTTGATGCAAAATGCTAAGTTCAACAATTAAAACTTTTACATGTATATGATTATTAGATCAATATGTTCCTAATTCCATTTACATACATATGTAAGCTATAACATCACAATTATGTTTGTAGTCTCATTAAAAATGACGAACTGGCAAATGGAAATTGGGAGAATGACGCTGTACATATTATTTCCTATCGGGATTTACTATTATTTTAATCAAACTGATAACATCGAAGAATGGATACAGACCGAAAGGAAAAAGCTTGCCCCTGATGATGAGAAGAAACGGGCCGACTTTAAACAGTTTGTCTATGAATATAACAAGAAACAGGATCTGAAAGCACTTGCAGAGATGGAAATGCAATATCAGGGAATGAAGTAGATTATTCCATGAGTTTCAGGTCACAGGCATGACTGTGATTCTGTTGTTGTTCCTTTCATTTTTTAAAAATAAACGTGAAATATATTATTGCTACAGTTTTTATCGTAATTTAATTAATTCGCAACTATTTAGGCTGTTTATGTTTCACATTACCCGCAAATTAAATCATTATACAAAGTTCTATATCAGTTGATATTTTAGTTCTATTAACTAAACGCGTTGAGATATCTTAATGAAACTTGAGAGACACTTAGATACGTCCTTCCTAAATATACCTGTAAAGTTTCATCTTGAATTGGATACATTAAACGTCTCAGAAATATTCCTCGAATGCTTGGCTTCAATCCCATTTTTTGGTCATTAAAATCGGTTCACTACAAACAGTTCGCGTCTTCTTCCGCTAGATGGTGCCACATCCACAGTAAAACTTTACAAATAATTTTTTAGAAAAATGCAAATATCTCGACGTTTACTGTATGAATTTTGATGAAACTTTCAAGATACGTTCAAAAAGAATTTATCTACGTGTCCCCCAAGTTTTATTAAGATATGCTCCTGTGGAGCATCGCCAGAAAGGAATCGAGCCAATTTGAGGGAGGGGTATCGGAAGTAATTCTCTGGCATTTCTGTTGATGTGTAGTCACAGTATACTTAGTACTGTAGTTGTAGTTGTAGTTGGTTGTAGTCGTGTAGTACAATAGAGCTACGAAGCACGATAAGCTGTGCTGTGTCTTGCGACCTGTGACCCTCGATCTGCACGATCTACGATTCCTGCGATATACTCCAGCTACGATACGAACGTGAACTCGGTGTCCCTATATTTGTGCTTCACGAGTATTTATTACAAAGTAGTCGAAAACTACAAATCGGGTAACGTCAAATTTGGTCAGTTCTACGTGAAAAATGATAGATTTACGGGAAGAAGGTTCAAAGGACACAAACAATGGCAAATATGGTAATTTAAACATACCGGGTAAGTGCGAGTTGAATTAAATACCTTCGATAGTAAGCAAAAAATAATGCAAAAGCGATTGAACACGTTGGGCTTCGGGGGTCGATGCATATCTTTTCTGTTCTTTATTTGCAATCGAGTAACTTAAGTTACTCGAAGTGCAGTTTAAATCAGCAGAATCGCACGTGCGATAGAATGTTAATCACGATCTTAAAGAAATCTCCTAATAATTATGTTGTATCATTGACTTAATGCGATGAAAAATGTCTGTAACTAGCGTACAGAATTTTCGGCTATTGCCACTTTATACGTACGAATCAAGTACTTATGAATTACCTAATTAATTAATTCGCCCCGAGCGATTCAACTACAACGATGATTGAAAAAAGCCGTAGACAAATATTTTTACACACGTCCGCATTCATCGTCAGTGTATTTTATGAAGCAGCTGAGGTTATAATGATTATGCAACGTTATACTTTGGATTTACCAGTTACATCGCAACAAGGATTAGCACCGCTCAGTCCCTACATAAACTTCGATCCTGCGTTCCTCCCTCCGCAGCAACCGGAGTACATATTTCCCGAAGGAGCTGTGAAGCAACGAGGCCGGATGGAATTGGCCTTCAGTCAGATCGGTGGAGCGTGCATCTCTGGAGCTGTCGTAGGTGGTGCAGTTGGTTTATACAGAGGCATTAAGGCAACGTCTTTGGCTGATCAAACGGGCAAACTGAGAAGAACTCAGTATGTACTTTGTCTTGGATCACAGGAAGTCAGTTGACTGACTCGTTTGCATACGTGACATTACTCACTTCAATTTTGTATGGGCAGATTGATCAACCATATGATGAAAGGTGGTGCCTCGTTAGCAAACACACTTGGAGTAATCTCTGTAATGTACAGTAGTTTCGGAATTCTATTTTCTTGGGTCAGAGGTACAGACGACTCGTTCAACACTCTAGCAGCAGCTACAGGAACAGGGATGATATATAAGTCGATGAGTACGTTTCACGGCTACTTATATCGGGTAATAAAATAGAGATGATCAGTAATGATCCGTCGATGGTTTCAGATGGTCTTAGAAAATCCGTGCTAGGCGGTTGCGTCGGACTAGGAGTAGCGTCGATATTCTGTCTATGGAACAGCCGAGAAACGCTAAGGGAATTGAGGCATCGCAACGTAAACCCGGCGTAAGACTGTGTGTGTAGCAGTAATACCTCTGACTATTCTTAGTAATTTCGAACGCTTATATACATACATCAGTTACCACTCGCAACGAGGATTTCGTCCAAATAAAATAGCTAGAACAATTCTAAATGAGATAAATAAAAGTTGAGCTAGAAGCAACATTACACTAATCGAATACTATGTAGACCTTACACATGTAACACATTTAGATAGACGAACGTAGTTTTCGCGAATTCGCATTCCGTACCCGGACCATTTTCACACGTAATACTATCGACTTCCATCATGCGTGGTACTAGTCTCACATGTTGTTCTTTCGTTTTTCTTACAGATCGAAATGAAATAGGAGAGAAAACGAGATGAAATTCCGCGTCACTAGAGAATCGTACATTGAGAGCACTCGGCAAGTTTCGTATACAATGAAAATCATCTCCGATGGTTTTATAGAATGAAAGCAAAAGACATAAGCGGAAGTTGAATCTGCAAATGTGAATAAAGTAAAAATTGTATACCAGTATACGTGTGTGGATATGGGAAGGGGGGGGGCAGAGAATGATTGAAGATACGAAAATAGAGTGACTACGCTCCTCGCGGTTCTCACCGCGAAACGTGTACTGTGTACATGCATCGCGTATTTCTGTACGTCTTTTTTTATTGTTCCTACATCTGACAATTATATCGCCTTGGTTTCTAATATCAGACCTCGTGTTACACACATCTTTGTACGTGCATATGTGTATTACGCATAGACACGTGTACGTAGAATGTTTGATTTAGGGACACCTGGAATATTATCGTAACGTACGATGATCTTATCAACGTTTAATCTCTGCGTTCTCGGGTACTCTCGCGTTCCATACTGACCGCGTTACGAGTTTGTCGGGTCGAACGGGTAAGGAAAAGATCAAAGTATAACGTGATAATTCCAACGGAAGTAGACAAAATTCAGTATGGTTCATTATTTGAATCGTATTTACCATCGTTAGTGAAAGCGAAGGAGTGCCGTGTTTGCTAATACACGTCACTGGAACAGTGTTCATGACGTGTATAACGCAAACTCCGAGTTTCGATTCAAAACAAATAAATCGTTAAAGATACGCGTATAGGAATCCGAAAGAGAAACTAGTGTCGTTCGCTCGCCAGCTTTCGGCTCGGTTGAGAGTTTAAACGGATCGATGGCTTAATTAATACTGGTTGAAAACAATTTACAAAGTGCGAGTATGTATTTTAACATTCGTGGATCTTTGACGTCGATCATAAACGACCGTGACCACGTGCTACTCACAAATCAACGGCTTATTTAGACAACGAATTCGCAATGTTAACAGATGTGAATAGCGTCGAAGCTGTAGTACGTGCTAGTTGGAGAAATGTATTTTGGACTCTTCCACGTTAGTAGATGTAGAAGATAAAAAAAGAGGAAAGACAGCGACGAATTACACCTCTCAGTAAGGGACGATCGATAGCGATAAGGGTTTATCTTATTCTTCGATGAATACATCCATCGTGACAGAAGAGTAATACACATAGGTGTGGCTAAACAGGTGAATCTAATTTCAAATTGTTTGATGAGAAACCGTCGGGATCGGTACCACGGCAGTTCCCAAGTCCCGAAGCAGCTCGATTCGAAAATTAAAAAAAAATTCATACGTGCAGATTAAATGATACCGATTGGATATCTGCTCATCGATCAGTCATTTCGTCTACCTTTAATTAATTTCAACACGGATACCTACTTCATGCGCGTATAAAGAGGAAACAGATACGGACAAGTCATTTGTTAAAAAATAGATACATTCGTAAGTAGTTGGAGTCGAAATTCAAGAGGTTCAAAAGAGAACAAAGATTCGTTGGTTTGTGAAAAGAAGTAGAGGTCTAGGATGGACGCAAGTCGAATCGAGCGTATCATCAGTTTATTGTACATCTCTTCCGCTGTATTGTCTTTGACTTCGTTGATCTGTCTGGTCACCGTTTGGCAGTATTGGACATCGATTGTGAACTTTTGCATCAATGTCGATTGCGGTTGCATACTGTACGCTAGAAGTTCGTTCAATTCTTTTATGGGAGGCGAAGTGATACTGTGTCATTTCGGCGTGTACGGAATGATCCCCCCACTTATATTCGGCTTGTGTCTCGGCGGATACCACGGGTACAGATGCTGCATCCATAAAAATTTAGATGCGCCTGTACAAGTCACCAGCAGGTACGGTAAAGCGAAGATGATTATGTGCAGTGTAAATAAATAAGAGTACAGTCTTTCCCGAGCGAGCATCATCGAAAAGCTAGAGTTTAAACCTTCTGCCTAGAAATTTGGAGACCGACGATGGGCCAGCGGTAGTAGTCAGACCTAAAAGAAGAGCGCCGTGTAAGCAATGGACACTTGCTTCGTTCCTCACGATATTACTTTTCTTTCTGTCACTGACCCACGCAATAATAACGACGGATGGTTATTACAAAACTTGCGAGCAGTATAGGAAAAGGTTGATACAAGTTCTGAATTCGGCTGGACGCGAAACTGAGGTAGTCAGGAATATCTTACGTGCATAACAATATTATTGTATACGCATATCCTTTTATGTTCCCGTAGGTCATTCACGATAGACTTTCTTGCGGTGCGATGTTCGATTTTATGGATTACTTGCAATCGGACCCGGATACGTTCGAATACAAAAAGATTGATACCGGTTTCGCGCTTCGATTAGCCATCGTTTCTTCGTGGCTCAATTGCTGTGCTTGGATACTCGCGTTTTCGTTGAACGTAATTGCGGCGCGAAAACGATTTTGTTGTTGGACATTACAGATCGATCCTCCTGAAGACGACGCGGGTGCAATTGCTCTCGCCTCGATTCGCTCAAGGCATCAAACCGAATGATCACCGGTAAGAGTTCATTCCATCTACCATCGTTTCATTTCTCGATACTTCGTCTTTTTGATACTACTCATCGAACTACGGTGTTGAAAGCAAGATTTTAAAACACAGTTGATTCAGTCAAGCAGATTTTTATACTACATACAATATAAAATATAATTAAAATTGAAATTAAAGCGTGTATTCGTGCGTGCGAGTACATCGACACGCATGAGTAACGATGATTAATTTAGTGTAATATGTAATACTAGCACCAGCACCATTTAATGTATTCCATTTTAAATTATATAAAGCGACGCATTCCGTACCCGGACCATTTTCACACGTAATACTATCGACTTCCATCATGCGTGGTACTAGTCTCACATGTTGTTCTTTCGTTTTTCTTACAGATCGAAATGAAATAGGAGAGAAAACGAGATGAAATTCCGCGTCACTAGAGAATCGTACATTGAGAGCACTCGGCAAGTTTCGTATACAATGAAAATCATCTCCGATGGTTTTATAGAATGAAAGCAAAAGACATAAGCGGAAGTTGAATCTGCAAATGTGAATAAAGTAAAAATTGTATACCAGTATACGTGTGTGGATATGGGAAGGGGGGGGGCAGAGAATGATTGAAGATACGAAAATAGAGTGACTACGCTCCTCGCGGTTCTCACCGCGAAACGTGTACTGTGTACATGCATCGCGTATTTCTGTACGTCTTTTTTTATTGTTCCTACATCTGACAATTATATCGCCTTGGTTTCTAATATCAGACCTCGTGTTACACACATCTTTGTACGTGCATATGTGTATTACGCATAGACACGTGTACGTAGAATGTTTGATTTAGGGACACCTGGAATATTATCGTAACGTACGATGATCTTATCAACGTTTAATCTCTGCGTTCTCGGGTACTCTCGCGTTCCATACTGACCGCGTTACGAGTTTGTCGGGTCGAACGGGTAAGGAAAAGATCAAAGTATAACGTGATAATTCCAACGGAAGTAGACAAAATTCAGTATGGTTCATTATTTGAATCGTATTTACCATCGTTAGTGAAAGCGAAGGAGTGCCGTGTTTGCTAATACACGTCACTGGAACAGTGTTCATGACGTGTATAACGCAAACTCCGAGTTTCGATTCAAAACAAATAAATCGTTAAAGATACGCGTATAGGAATCCGAAAGAGAAACTAGTGTCGTTCGCTCGCCAGCTTTCGGCTCGGTTGAGAGTTTAAACGGATCGATGGCTTAATTAATACTGGTTGAAAACAATTTACAAAGTGCGAGTATGTATTTTAACATTCGTGGATCTTTGACGTCGATCATAAACGACCGTGACCACGTGCTACTCACAAATCAACGGCTTATTTAGACAACGAATTCGCAATGTTAACAGATGTGAATAGCGTCGAAGCTGTAGTACGTGCTAGTTGGAGAAATGTATTTTGGACTCTTCCACGTTAGTAGATGTAGAAGATAAAAAAAGAGGAAAGACAGCGACGAATTACACCTCTCAGTAAGGGACGATCGATAGCGATAAGGGTTTATCTTATTCTTCGATGAATACATCCATCGTGACAGAAGAGTAATACACATAGGTGTGGCTAAACAGGTGAATCTAATTTCAAATTGTTTGATGAGAAACCGTCGGGATCGGTACCACGGCAGTTCCCAAGTCCCGAAGCAGCTCGATTCGAAAATTAAAAAAAAATTCATACGTGCAGATTAAATGATACCGATTGGATATCTGCTCATCGATCAGTCATTTCGTCTACCTTTAATTAATTTCAACACGGATACCTACTTCATGCGCGTATAAAGAGGAAACAGATACGGACAAGTCATTTGTTAAAAAATAGATACATTCGTAAGTAGTTGGAGTCGAAATTCAAGAGGTTCAAAAGAGAACAAAGATTCGTTGGTTTGTGAAAAGAAGTAGAGGTCTAGGATGGACGCAAGTCGAATCGAGCGTATCATCAGTTTATTGTACATCTCTTCCGCTGTATTGTCTTTGACTTCGTTGATCTGTCTGGTCACCGTTTGGCAGTATTGGACATCGATTGTGAACTTTTGCATCAATGTCGATTGCGGTTGCATACTGTACGCTAGAAGTTCGTTCAATTCTTTTATGGGAGGCGAAGTGATACTGTGTCATTTCGGCGTGTACGGAATGATCCCCCCACTTATATTCGGCTTGTGTCTCGGCGGATACCACGGGTACAGATGCTGCATCCATAAAAATTTAGATGCGCCTGTACAAGTCACCAGCAGGTACGGTAAAGCGAAGATGATTATGTGCAGTGTAAATAAATAAGAGTACAGTCTTTCCCGAGCGAGCATCATCGAAAAGCTAGAGTTTAAACCTTCTGCCTAGAAATTTGGAGACCGACGATGGGCCAGCGGTAGTAGTCAGACCTAAAAGAAGAGCGCCGTGTAAGCAATGGACACTTGCTTCGTTCCTCACGATATTACTTTTCTTTCTGTCACTGACCCACGCAATAATAACGACGGATGGTTATTACAAAACTTGCGAGCAGTATAGGAAAAGGTTGATACAAGTTCTGAATTCGGCTGGACGCGAAACTGAGGTAGTCAGGAATATCTTACGTGCATAACAATATTATTGTATACGCATATCCTTTTATGTTCCCGTAGGTCATTCACGATAGACTTTCTTGCGGTGCGATGTTCGATTTTATGGATTACTTGCAATCGGACCCGGATACGTTCGAATACAAAAAGATTGATACCGGTTTCGCGCTTCGATTAGCCATCGTTTCTTCGTGGCTCAATTGCTGTGCTTGGATACTCGCGTTTTCGTTGAACGTAATTGCGGCGCGAAAACGATTTTGTTGTTGGACATTACAGATCGATCCTCCTGAAGACGACGCGGGTGCAATTGCTCTCGCCTCGATTCGCTCAAGGCATCAAACCGAATGATCACCGGTAAGAGTTCATTCCATCTACCATCGTTTCATTTCTCGATACTTCGTCTTTTTGATACTACTCATCGAACTACGGTGTTGAAAGCAAGATTTTAAAACACAGTTGATTCAGTCAAGCAGATTTTTATACTACATACAATATAAAATATAATTAAAATTGAAATTAAAGCGTGTATTCGTGCGTGCGAGTACATCGACACGCATGAGTAACGATGATTAATTTAGTGTAATATGTAATACTAGCACCAGCACCATTTAATGTATTCCATTTTAAATTATATAAAGCGCATGGTATTTATATTTATCGCAATTTACTCTACGGAACAGACTCCTCGCTAAAATATTTTATTCATTCGATACTCGCGCCGATCTCAAGTTTTATGATTCTCTTGTTACTCGTAGAGGAAAAAGTTATACATATGTGTTCTATACTGACAATTTGTATTTTTGTAAGTATAATAAGTATGATACACTGCGTCGGGGATGGCTAAATTGCACGTTCGTTTTCTCCCTCCTTTCTTTTTCTTCCTCGTTTCATTTCATCGTTTCGCTTGCGTCATTGTCTCTTCGTTATTAATCGGTCGCGTTTTGCATCACATATGTAACGTATATCGCGTATTATGTAGGAACCATGATACAAAGAATATTTCGCGTTTGGTACACTTATCTAGACAATAAGTATCTAATTATATGTATGTACATATGTATGCTGTACATGTAGTTACGAAGAATAAGTTTAGGACGGGAGGGAATCGAGACTAAACGTGAGAGAATGCGTGCTCATTGGAAAGAAATCGATCGACCGACCGAGGTGCGAAGAGGAGCGAATCGAAGGGAGTAAGCGTGGAACTTAGTTTTCCGATTAAGTGAAACATCGCGTATCATAATTGCTTGTAACGCGACCGTGATTCTTCTCTTGTCATACTTTATACCCGATGTCCATTAAAAATAGATAGCATCATCGTTTCAAGTGAAAGGATTGCTTCTCCTCTTCAACGATCCGAACCGTTTCTCGATGGGCTCCCTGATCACTTCGAACGGCGTGACTTTCGTATTGTTCATTTGCCTGTCCTCGTTCTCGTCGCTCGGGAAATCTTCGAAACTCATATTACTAAAGCCGGCAGCATTTACTGCGACCGAACACTTCTTCGCCCGCGGAATTTTCTTACCGTAACACATCGTCGTCGATTTGCCTTTGTGATTCAATTTGGAGGAGGACGACAGCGCGTCGCCGGTATCGCTGTGGTTCTCGTCGATCAATTGATACTTGGACTTCTCCAATTTATTTAATTTTTCTTTCTTATGCCTCGGCGTGTCGTGCTCGTCGACCACAGTTATCGAGCTCGGTTTCTTGATTGGCAGTAGGATTTGATGAGGTAAAATGATTTCTACTGGTTTCGCGACGCTGTCGACGATCTGTTGGCGCTCGTCGATAATTCGATCGATGCGTTGAACGGGTTCATTCGAATACACTTCCTGTAACATAGTTCCTCGAACACCGCCGTGACCCGTTTCGAGCCTCTCTTTTCGTTCGTTCAATTGCAAAGACGCGAACTCGTCGAACGGTATAGAACCAAAAAGGTCTTCGGACGCTACTTCGGATACGAAATTTCCTCTCGAATCGTTCGAGACCGGCATTGATAGAGGCTGGGTTTCTTCGATGGAACAGACGGAAACTCGCTTCGTTGGTATCGTCGGCGTCGGCGTCGGTGTTACTGTCGTCGTCATTATGATCGATCGTTTCGGATTAACTTCCTCGATACTATGCTGTCTCGCACCGTTGCGATCGAATAAATTCGCTGCAAAACTGCTGGGACTGAACGGTGACGAACCGAACAAATCTGTTTCTTTGGTCTCACCTTCGAGCGGACGAACAGTCTTTCTCTTCTCCTCTTGCTCTCTCCTCGCTATCCTTGGATCCTCTTTCGATTTCGTCTCTAATACCTCCAATCTTTTATCTTCGTGGTTCTTCGCCTCCTTTTCCGCTTTTGCTCCTCCCTTTTTATTTTCACTTACACTCACATCTTTCCTTTCGGATTCCTCGCGAACGTTTACAATCTTCTTAGCGTCGGTTAATCGTTGTACTCCCGCGTGAACGAAACGAACGTCTACGTAATCCGCACCATATTTCCAACACGATTTATTATTACTCGTCGTTACGTCCGACACTCGTACGAGTTTCGAAGCTTGACGATAGTTGTTCTTCCTTTCTCTAAAATTACCAGCGGTGGGCTTGGTGAACGGAGCTAACGCAAAGACGTCACCCGCGAGATCTTCCTGGGACGATCCCTCGACCGACAGTTTTAGTTTCAGCTCGCACAAACCGATAGAATCAAGGAGTTGGAAGTTCGAGTCGTACGTACGTTCAACGACAAACGGATCACCGCACGGTTGTTCCAGTTTCGTTTCCGGGTCCAGTTCGTCGTCTAGCAAGAGGGGTTTCGCCCCGTATTGATGCCCGACGACCGGATCCCCATTCAACGTCGTCGACGAACACTGCACCCTGTAATACTTTCTCGACTTCTCGTCTTCTTCGTTCACATCGTCGACGTTCTCGTCCACGTCGTCGTCGATGTCCTCATCATCGTCCTCGTTATCATCCTCCTTATTACTTTCCTCTTCTGTGCCATTGCCATTTCCATTTTCCAAACTGATACTCGACGGCTTAACGATACTGTTGCAAACCAACTGACTAGATCTTCGACCTCCGACCAGACACGTAGAATCGTTCGGTTCGTGATACATATTTTTCGCATCCGGCATTCTCCTCTGTCTACGCGACAGCACGTTCTTCGCTCTTCTCCTCTGCTTGATCGATTTGATCCGCTGTTCCGGTGAATCTTTGTCGCTGTCGCTGGACACGTCGGCGGCGCTAAACGCCAACTTTTCATACTTGGATCGATCCTCCATGGGGACCGAGACGAACGTCAAGGGCGATACGATATCGTTTTCCGTTAAACAGATCGTTTCCTCGTCCAGTTCGAAATTGCGCTCCATTATTCCCGGGTTCCACTGTTTCGCCGGAGGTATTCTCGGCCTACCGTTCGCGGTCTTGCCTGAAAAATAGAACGCGTTTATCACGTACAAACCGTAAGCTCGTAGACACGCGCGATACTCAGGCGTATCCGCTCAATCGTTCTCCGTTCCGTTTCGAGAACGTCTATTCGAAAACACTTCGTACACCGAACGGATCCTCATCGTTCGTAGACAGACAAACAATGCAACAAGATGCTTTAATTTACTTGTACTTACCTACGACATACACGCGAGTGCTACATCTAATAAAACAAATTGCGATTGTGCGTCGTACAAATGTACACTTCCTTTCGTAAGCTTTAGGATACTTCCAAGAGCTCGTTGTCTATCGGAAATTCTAGCAAACGTTCCAAATTAATAATCGCCAGAGACGATTTTCATTGGAACATTATAATAAATCACATAGTTTTTATAGGTCGAGTCAGGGAGAAGGAAAGGCTAATTCGATTAGGACTGTTGCAGATCGGTTCGATCGATGCTACGTGCGCATTATAGTGCATTTACAGACTGCAATTTAGATACATGTGTACTCTTAGAGGAAACTAAGGGAAAGCTCGCTATATCGAGTCGAACATCGATAACTAATTTATAAATGTCTTCCGGAATAATATGTAAATCTACATTGGAATGATTTTGCCGACCGTTCGAAAGCCCTTGAACGTATCACGGTATTTGTTCTTGCAACCAATTCGTTACAATCCTTTTCTTTTCTATCATAAATTTACAAACTTTTTGAACCAGCGTTAGAATACGTGTATGTACATTTTCATCACCGCCACCAAATTATTGTACATCTTCCATTACCATCACCAGTCACCGTACATCGTCTGGAACGATCCTAATCGGATTCAGAGGGTCGAGGATAGTAATACATACGAGAAAACGCAGTAATGATCTTTGTGTCTCGAAGAAGACTTCGTATCGCTGTTACATATCGTTAATTTAAGCTTTTCCATCATTACTGCGGTTGCGTATAGATGATACGCAAAGGGGATACGACAGATCTTTGAACTTCTTTACTTTTATTTTAAAAACAGTCTTTATACCTTTCGTGAATCAATCCGGCTTAGCGGAAAGCGTGAATTGTTCAGTTCGAACGGGACGAAGGGATCTCACCCTTCGATCGGACCTCGACGAACAAAGAATTGCTGCGTTTTGACAACTGCTTCGAATGAAATACTCCGTACACCATACTATGGTACAATTATTAACTGTTTTATTACTGCAACACATCGTCGTATCTTAATACAGCGAACATGTACAACGTGTCCGAGATCGTCAATCTCCCATAGCGATGTTCGGGTCGCGCGTCGCACCGTTGCAGATCCGAGACGGGGAAAAACGACTTACAAGCGGTAGGCAGATTGCCGGTACGTAAGTACGGGGAAATTGAAACAAAGACACGATACGAGGAGAACGCTAAAGCGCGTATTCACTTTGGCATAATCTCGCGTCGTATCGCCGCTGCGTATCATTATGAACGGGCAAGCGCTGCATCGTTGTACGTCCCTCGCGAGTCTAACTTCCAACGAATGCTTCTCGTCTGTCGAAATATCTCACGAATATCGCAAATTAATAATCGTTGGAGGACCGTACGGGTACGCGTGCAACGATGAAGAGCAGCGGCGACGCGATACGAGGATGCGGTACAAGTGTGTACGCACGGGACGAAGTTCATCGGAGTCTTTCTTTCGTCGCGGATAACAAATGCATCGAACGAAAGCGGATCGTCTGCGCCTCCTAAACTCGTTAGGGTGTTCCAGACAACGATCAATCAAATACAAAATTGCAGCTTTCTCATCTCGTTTCACGTTGATTAATAATAATTAGCGTGGTGAAATGAAATGCGAGCGACGGTTCGCAGGAACTAGGACGATACATACTCGTATAGTATATTAATTAATACTAACTGAGATGTGAGACGTCAAGGGTGCGGCCCGACTGATTACGGCAGGGGAAAGTAACAGATAAAGAGAGAATTGAAAATAAGGAACGCGGAGAGAAACGAGAGTCTTTATTATGCAAATTAGAGTAACCGACATCGATCAATGGTGAGAAACGCTAAGAGACTGGACATGTACGATACGAGTATGTCAGTACGTATGCGTATAAATTATACGTAGTAAACAGAGTCATGAAATACTAATATTGTTCGCTCGGCTTGGTCCAACAGAAAATCACTTCCATACTCTCTGTGTACGGGAATATTAGTTACAAACAAAAAGCAGAACAAATTATAGCTGATCTACCGGAATCTTCAACTTCTGAGGGATAAGAACATATTTACTTTTGATATCTTCCGTTTACTTGAAATATCTTCAAATGAGTCAGAGGAAGAAATAACAACGTGCGCGTATACGTTTGCCAACTTCCCTCAACAAGTCAAGATCCGAACGTCTTGTACAAATTAAACGACGCAACTAAATCACTATTCAACTGGGTATATCAGGTAGATAATTAAAAAAGTGAGTATTTAGGAAAGTACGTATTAGGTATATAAGTAAGCGAGTAAATAAGTAAATAAAGAAGTAAGTGAACGAGGGAGAGAGCAGAATAGAAGAGAGAAACAAATAAGGACTATTAGAAGTATATACATACGATGTTCATACTCGATGCGGATAGTAACGTTAAGAGAGGAACAAGAGTTAATGAGAAAGAGGCGAACGAACACAGTGAAAGATAGCAACCATTTCCCTATATTAGTTATCTTATGTATATTCTTGTAAGTACATATTTATAGGTGCTAAGCGATTTAGCAGATAGTCCAGATTGGAAAGTCTCGATGATCTTGCATCTTTCATCTCTTTCCACATTAGCGGTTTACTCTTCTTCCAATTAATTCTCTATTGCTTTTATCTAATTCTTTACGTCGAACGATCAACGATTCGACGAAATACGATCCACGGATGTGCTCCTTACGATTAGGGAGAAGGGACGAGAGAATTAAATACACGCTGCACTAGAGCGATAATTATCTCCTACTTTCTTTTGTACGCCCGCGTGCCTGTGTATCACTGTATATCAATTTCTTTTGTGATATAAGGTTGTTTTCCGTTCAACTAAAAGAAACAAACTATTTTACGCCCAACTACTATACGAAATTATAATTATAGTATAATTTCCTCTCTCCCTTTTTGTATTTCTCTCTTTCTCTACTTCCCTCCCTTTAAGGATGTATTGGCTATACAGTCAATCCCAAAAGTTTATGTACCTTAGAAAAACGCATTTCTTATAATTAAAAAGAAATTAGACGTCGGAAGAACAATGCTAATAATAAATAGCTACGTGCTAAAAAGTATAG